ACAGTCAGTTCCATTTATGTGTACTTTAGAAATCTAAGGGTGTTTATACGTCCACTCAGGTTTTTGCAACAAACTACAAGGCTGTCTTGGACTAAAAGTCTGACAAGTTTCCTTTATTTGTCACCTGGATTCTGAACCACACCCTTATATTTCTCTTTAGTATATTAAACAAAGAAAAAGACCCGCTATGCTCGACTGCTACTCAGAGTGTTCCGAGTACGTCTTCCCAAAACGCGGTTTTAGTCACTTGTTCTGCCCATCCAAGATGGCCACAGATAAGGAGGACGAGAGATAGTGACCACTTTTCCCTCTCAACAGAAAATGTTTAAATAAAACCCTTTTTGTACTATGTAACTGACTGTAATCGTTATTTAGAAACACAGATTCCAAATTTTAGAAAGACAACAAACTTATTTTGTTCTTATAACAACAACTTATTTTGACTTAAATGTTCTTATACTTTAAAGTACTGTTTTCTTACCCTTTTGCAGAAGTTCGGACTTTTTCACAATCCCTGGAGTCCCCTTCTTGTGAAACTGCCAACGGAGGGTTAAGAGATTGGTTCCTCGAGCAGCCCCTTTTTATGAAAAACTTAGTTTCGGGGGTCTTTGGTGGATGTCCGTTGAGATTTGGATTCCTTGCCCAAGTCCCGACCTCTTTTTCCTCTCCTGCTGGAGTTTCCCGGGTTTCGGCACCATGTTGTAGGAGGAATTATAGATTGCTCTATTGTATTTAAAAATAACCTCCACGGACTCAAAGATTGTTATAGAAAAAGTCTTCACTCTGCTTTATTTACACGCGCATGGGAGAATCTATACAGACAATGCATGGAGTTGAGCTTGTCCCCCCTCCCGTCTGAAAGAGTCTCTAACTAAATCTAAGGTGCATAAATCTTATATAGTTGTTTATGATAATTCACTTCTGGCTGGGTGCCGTCTTCGCGTCATATATCCTGGTCAAGCAAGCTTCAAAGCGTTGATTTGTTAGCGCATCTTAGGTCGTCCTACCTACGCAGTTTCAGCAGTGCAACCTTTTCTTTTGTCCCAGCCAAGGACCTTGAAAAGAACACAGATTAAAAACATGTATATTGCAATTATTTTTAATTCTGAGGCTTCAATACTTTTTAAACCCTTACACTGCCTCCGGGAGTCTCAAGGCTCTGCTCCTTCCCAAATCAGCTGGGGGGGGGAGGGCTGGAGGTTGATGCCCGTACACTCAAGGCGTCCTTGCCAACTAAAATTGATTGGGCTTCATTCACATTACACTTCACGATGATTATGTGAGGGGGATGAAGGAGTCCCTGTCCTCGCTATTTACTTGCATGGACACCTGCGATTCTGCGCAAGCCACGCTGACACTGCGGGTACAAGCACTGGAAGAGTCACAGCAAAGCCAAGACCAGCTGATGGTAAAACTGCAGCTCCAGCAGGATGATCTAGAAAATCGCAGTAGGCCTTAATAATCTGAAACTGTAGGGCATTCCTGAAACGACGGTGGGCCCTGACTTGAGGTCGATGGTACAATCTATCTTCAATATGTTTCTGGGCCGTGATCACACGACTGCCATTGAGATTGATAAAGTTCATTAGATTCAGTCTTTTCGCCTGATCCATCCAGACCCAGGCATATGCTTTGCAGAATCCACTTCTTCAATCTCAAAGAAGAAATCCTGCGTAACACCTGGGAGAGAGGTTCTGTGGAGTTTGATGGAGCGACTATCCACGTTCTCCCTGATCTCTAACGCCGTACATTATCGATGAACCCTGAGGCTGCTAGGTAACTTTGTCTCGTCTGCATGAACTCTGCGTGTGATTCCCTTGACCTGTCTTCTTATGGGCATTGTGATGGTGGCGGGGCCTCACTCTTAGGTCGCCTACAGTTCTCACCTGTGTGGGTATGTTGACTTCCAGCTTGTATCACATGCCTCCTCCACCGTCCATGGCCTGGCACTGCAATCCACGGTGGGTGGAGGGCCGGGTGCTTCATTTCGTGGATCTCTTGTTTCCTGGATACCAAACGGTGCTGTTTCCCGCCATCTTGCTGGGACATGTTTGGATAGAGGAGCTGAGGGGTGTGCACGCCTTAATGTTTGTTGGGTTTGATAATTCATGGGTTGTTCTGTTTTGCTTATGCCAGATATGTGCCTCCAATGACTGATAATTGCAAAATGTTTCCACAGCTCTTGGATTCCACAACTGATGTTTAATATATTTATCAGATCTACAGGGATGTCCGGACCTATGCCTCCAGGCTGTGGGGTGGGACGGAGGAGGTTTTAGGGGGTTTTCCCTCTCTCCTGGTCTTCCTCATGGCCTGGACGCCTTTTGTTTTACTCATACGCTTAGAGTGCTGCCTCTTCTACAGACGGTCATACATTCGGACCAAGTCGGTTTTATACCATACAGGGAGATGAAAGACAATACCACAAGAGTACTTAATGTACTCCACCTAGCCCACTCTTGGAATGTATCCTTGGCTCTGCTCTTGACGGATGCAGAAAAAGCGTTTGATCGAGTGGACTGGAGCTTCCTGAAGTCTATGTTCCGGCACTTGGGCTTTGGCACGAATATGTGCGCCTGGCTGGATGCCATCTACTCTTCCACCGACGGCGGGAATTCGGGTAAATGAAGCATTGTCCCCATCCTTACACTTGACAAACGGGACAAGGCAGGGGTGTCGGTTGTCACCTTTGATCTTTATCCTGACCCTAGAACCTTTCTGGCGTAGAATCAGAGCAAATCCCAATATCCAGGGTCTTCGTGTGGGGTCTGCCCAACAGAAGTTATCGGCGTTTGCGGGCGACCTCCTATTTTTTATCTCATCCCCCGTGACATCTTTCCAGAATCTCCTCAAGGAATTTTCTCTCTTTGGGGAAGCCTCGAACTTTAATATGAACTTCCACAAATCGGTGGCTCTCAACATCTCCCTGCCTCCACATACGATTCGGGGTCTGGGTCTGCACTCGGCTTTCCCATTTAAATAGGCAAAGGAACATATTTCCTATCTAAGTACCCTTATTACACCAAATGTTTCTGGGATCTTCGTAGCGAATTTCAAACCATTGCTGGCCAAGGTGAGGTCAGACCTCTTGAAATGGCATAATCTTACCCACACATGGTTCGGCAGGAATGCTGTGCTCAAGATGAACGTCCTTCCCAGGGTGCTGCATCGGTTCAAACACTGCCTATCTCTATCCCATCTTCCTTTCTCAGGGACCTATGACGGGAGTTTCTTAGCTTTGTCTGGGCTCATTATCCAGCTCACATGGCGCATAAACTACTTCTTGTTCCCAAATCTCTTGGTGGGATGGGAAGAATCATCTCTAGTGATCTCACAGCTAGATGATTGGAGGTTGCGCCAACTCCTCCATTTTCTGAAATCACGGGTGCCCAAGGAATGGTCACTGATTCCTTTAACAGGGATCGATCGCCACCTCCCTTATGTATAAGATCTTAATTCAGCCAGGGGAGGATTACCCCCCCCCCTCCCCCTTTGTTGGGAAATTGGAACAAGATCTGAATCTTCCCCTAACACCCGAACAAAAAAGGGACGCCATATACTTTACTCACTACGCCTCCATCTCCAGTAGAATACAGGAAAACAACTACAAAATTCTCTCCCACTGGTACAGAGTGCCTACGCTGCTACATAAAATGTTTCTGCAAACTTCTGGGGGTTGTTGGAGATGAGGGAAGGAGAAGTAAGACCTTTTACATATCTTCAGGTTGTGCCAGATTCAAAATCTGTACTGTTCAATTACACGGTAACATCTTTCACCTTATTTCCATCAATCCACAATGGGGATAATTTATCAAAACTGAAGCAAACACAATCTGGAGCAGTTTTCCATAGTAACTAATCAGCTTCTCTCTTTCATTTTTAAGCCTAACTGAACAAACTGAAGAGAGAGGTTGATTAGTTACTATGGACAACTGCTTCATATTCTGTTGGCTCCAGTTTTGATAAATTCCCCCCAATGTCTTATTGTCAGCTATCAAACATATTAACAGATTTAGATAGAGTAGGGAAGGGATAAAACCTGTCAGATTATGTTTTGTGTCCAATTGGGAAGTTTCCCTTCCTGTCCCGAAGATGTAACAGAAGGTGGCAGGAAATTTCTACAAAGTGAGGGGAATTCCTCTCTTGGACTGTTGTCACCAGGTCAAGTGTCTCCATTGAAAGATTTTCCCTCATTTCTTGTTCTGGTGACATCTCTAAATTGTTCAGTTTTTTCATCACTTTCTGACCAGAACACTTAAAACAGAACTCCAGGTAGGCATTTGATTAACCCTTGCAGTGACTATCTGATCTTAAATAGATGTTCTAATCCCTCTCCACTCTATCCAAAACTAAAAAAAAGTTTTGGCATCAGCTGTACCTTAAGGCGTCATTCACAATAGGTGTGATTTAGATGGTTTTATGTGCATTTAAAAAGCTTTTGTAAATGCATATATATGCATCTAATGAATTCCAATGGGTATATTCACACCTTGCATCTAGATGCTTTTTTCTGTGGTTGGTTTATCTGCGTTTTCAAGTCAGATGCATCTAGGAATTGATTTCAACTTCTTAGTGCATCAAAACACATGCAAACACGTTGGATGTGGTACCAGATGCATGTAATCGCTTGTAAACACGTCAACGCGCATAATTTCATGAGTCTAGAATCATAAACACAGCATCTTGCCTGACAGATTTTCCTTTGCAGATAAAAGACAAAAACACAAGTGGCAAATGTAAATGAAGCCTAAATTAGTGTATTTTGTTTTTTGCCTCAAGTTCAGCTTAAATGCCTTATCAATGTGTTATGTAGAGGAGGGACATCTTGATATACGGGTCAATACCTGATTATTATTATTGGGTTTACATTATTGTGTAATATATACAGCCAATGTACTATAAGTGTTTCGAAACGAAATGAAGAATTAAACATGCCATTTGTGATAAGGAAAAGAACTACTGCATAAATGTATATGACAGTGCTAATATCTCTTCATCAGGACCTGTATGCGCTGGAAGTACCAGCTGAATTAGCTGCTCTATTGAATTCAGCACAAGGTAAGGGTGTGGTATTTTTTGTTTCTAGCGGACTTAGGACTTATGTTGGTGCAAATTGGGCAAGAGCAGCATGTTTTTAAATGCATTCAGCACGCATGTGAGATACTTACTGCACAAAACTTACAGTGGCTGGTGTGCGGTGCACAACCCAGTGGCGTTGCGCCAATCCCGGCACATCACACTATGTACTCCTTTTGGGGTTTTTTTTGCATAATTTTATTGAAATGTCACAAGTGACATTTCATTATGTTCTACCGGCACAGCGGGGTGCATGGTGGTTGTTCTGTGTCTCATCCCCACTGCTCTGATAAAAAGTGCAGCATGCCATACTTTTGTTTTAGCACACAATGCAGTGTTGTGACTTGTGTCTATCTGTGACGAGGCAAACTGCCTTGCCTTGCATTGGGGCTGCGCTGAAAATAACAGCCAGCGTAACCCCAACACATGTGGTGTGAAAAAGCTCTAAGATGCTTCTGAGATCCTTCACAAAGGGATTCTGACCTAATTCTGAGCCGTTTCCGAGCTGTTTCCAAATTGTATCAAGCCACTTTTGCATTCCTGTTGACTTGTCTAATAGAGGTACAGGTTGGTGCATTTTTACATAAGTGAATGTCTTATGTAATAACACAAGCACAAGTACTTTGACAGATTACTAGATGGGGTTGGGCACGACCCCGTTGTCATGGTGCACACTGTTTATACTAGGTGTTATAACAGAATGAGCAGAAAACATTATATAAATGTTATCAAACAACAATTGCTAGACAGCTTGCAAGCAGTGTTGTATCTTACATTTAATTGTTTAATTTGTTTAAATTACAAGTTGTTTAATTGTGCATGCTTGTGCTGTGGGAACAAGAGAATATTGTCTAAAAATCTACATCCAGGACAGTATATATACGGTATGTATATATATCTAAAATTGTGTACTATTGTGTAATGCCTTTCTGGAGCTTGTGTGTTGTATACCATTGGACTAAGTCATTATGATTTTACATGCTTGTACCCCACAGTGAAGTACTATGCCCAAGGCACAGGTATCACAGAGGTGCCTCCACCACAGGTCAAGGCTCAGACCATCCTTTCGCTTTCTCCTGACATAAACAACTATCCATTATCCATCTTTATTCGCTCCTATTTTAGGGTAAGTTTTCTGGTATAATGTTTTTGCTTATTCTTGTTAATTTACCATTTCATGTCTGCAATAATTAATACCATATTGTTTAAACAGCTATGGGGCATATTTATAAAGCAGTCAATCTGACATTCAGGGCCCATTTACACCATAGGGGTCTATTCACGAAGCTGCCGAAGGATCTAGCCGCAGCTTCGGCCTCTGCTGAGCCGTGCTGAAAGCCGAAGCTTGCCGAGCGGCCGGCCATTGGCCGGCCGACAGCCTGCTTCCGACAGCTGGGCGAAGCCAGCCGTGATCTTACGGCTGGCTCCGGCCACTTGCAGAGAGATCAGCGTCCCTGGTTACCTGCTAACTGTATGCCCTTTCCTACCACACTGAACCTTCACCATTTCTTGTTGCTTTGTCATTGTGCATATATAAAGATAGTTAAATTGATACTAACGTCAAAAGGTGTTTAAGCTATTTCAAATGCTGACTAAATCACTTACAATGGATTCTGCTCCTTGATGTTTTAAAGTTTTACTTTCCTGCAATAAAAGGTGGTCCCTTTAGCACTGGTCCTGATATCCTGTTTTAGAGTGGCTCCTTTCCTTTGCAGGGTCCTATGGAGCCACCCTTGTGTGTGCTGGTAAGCTGTGCGTGTCTCCACAAGCACACAGACACAGCAAGGAAGGGCACTTCCCGTCTCCCTGCTCCCCTCTCCTTCCTCCTTCTTTATCTAAGCTAGTAGATGGACAGCTGCTGGAGACAGCTCTGTCCTTTGTGACTTTGCACTGCACATGAAGTTCAGGGAAGTGGAGCTGAGAGAGTTGGAGCTGTTTGAAAAGTTGAATACTGTAAGTGCTTGGGCAATAATTTAATGAAATACTTTGCTGTGCAACATATATTTGTCTGATCTGGACTGATTATTGAAAAAACATTTGAGAGTTTAATACAACTTGAATTCCCTATGTTTCCAAATATTTGCCTTCCCAGGATTCTGTTCTTCCACCCTTGGGGCAGCCCCTGCAGGATCCCCTTACTCGTTTATCACAGAATGATCATGGAGTTGCTCTGGAATTGTACAAACTGGTAAGAAATTATTTAATTTCTCTGTTGTTTATGGTATAATATCTGATGAGATACTTAAATGTATCTGTGCTTGTGACAGGCCCTGCGGTTCACGGGTAGCACTACAATGCAGCCTTGGCAGCAAAGAATTATTGGTAACTTCATTGTGGAACGCTGCCTAAGACAGCCATCACTTAAAGATGAACTTCTTTGTCAAGCAGCAAGTCTGACAGTGCAGAACAGCGATGAGGTACAGAGCCAGAGGGCATGGCTACTCCTTTCTACTCTGCTCAGCTGTATCATCCCTTCACCTACTCTGGAGAAGCCACTGCTGAAGTATGTCATTTGATTGAGAAATGTAAAACAATGTGTTGGTTCTGATTTGTCCACGTTCTTTAATACACTATATCTCTGGTGTAGGTATGTCTCCGATCAAGGCTTTGAAAGTTATAGGGCCATATGCCAGAGCAAAATCCTTCGTGCCAAGCAGAACAACCTTGGCGTGTTTCGCTCGCATGCTCCTACTTTGTTGGAATGGACCGCTAATGAGAGAAAAGGAAAGATGATCGTGGATGTGTTTACCTTTAATGGTGAGGTGGCAAGTTCTCTCTGCATTTACTTTCTATATGACTATATACCCTTAGAGTGTCCTTTGTTGCCTTTTCTATGTGTAAAACACTTACTGCAAAACAAGAGAATAAAGGTGGAGCCTTGTGGTATGACTTACTTTTAATGTCTCTCTGGGACTCTAATAGATCTCCTTCTAGTTCCTGACTGTTTCTTTTCACCTTGGAGTCTCACCCTTCTTTCTACGAAAGGTGCTTCCTAGGCGTTCCTAAATCTTTGTTGTAACTTCAATTACATTCAGTAATTTACAAATTCTAGTAGGAAAATTAAGCCTCCTTTTAATCACTGGGAGTATAACAAGAGACCTTATATAAGAGAGCAGACATGGCAAAGCCGCAGCAATCTCACCACTGATGTTCTGGAGAGACATAAGAAATAAAAAACTGAAATAATTTTTTTTGGCAAAACAGACCTTTTAATCTATTGTTTGTCAACATTATGATTCAATGTGGTATCCACTTATAACAGCCAGTGTTCAACACAACACTCCTACCATGGCTCCTTTGATTGTATCAAGAAAAAGTGCAGCTGTCAAAGCTGTCCTTTATAGCCCATGAAGATATGCTATTAAGCTGAGAGCATTAAGAGGTGTATGATGAGATTGCAAACATCAGTGGGTAAAATAGGAAACTTAATTCAAATTGTATTTTTCCATGTTTTTTATCACAGAGGAAAAATATTCTACAGAAGTGGATTCATGGACAACCGGAGAACAACTAGCAAGCTGGCTTCTGCAGTCCAGGTAACCTTATTATTGATATATGTTGCAGTTGTTTATATTGTCTTTCTATGCCTCACCTGCGACACTTATAAAAATATACATCCACCTTGGATGTCAGACCTAACTTGGTGCAGCTCTTGACTTAATTTACTTATTCACTTCTATACTTATCTATTTTCTTTTAATGAAGAGGTTCTGGGGAAAATCCTCGTGGCTGGTCTGTCTCCATTCTGGACGGTGATCAGTGGTTTGATCTCTCAGGAGATGACTTTTTGCTGGATGTAATTGCTGAGATAGAAGATGGTGCTCCTCCTCAGGCTTTTCAAACATCTGAATACCCTTTTGGAGATGCAGGAGGCATCCCTGAACCTCCACTAGACTATGCTCCAATACTTCCACCAGGACACCCATCTTTCCCAGCACCTGACTTTCCTCCTGATCCTCCACAACTCCAAGCACCAAGAGCTCCACCTCTCCCTCCACCTTTTCCTTCATCTTTTGAAAGGTGAGTAATTTTATGTTCTAATACAGGAATATGCTTACTATCATTTTCTGCCTATTGGCAGTGATTACTTCTCATAATGTTGATAACTATGCTTAGATTTGTTGACAAATGAAATATGAAAGCCTAATGGTGCTAATGATGGTAAATATAAAGCACTCATTAGTTGTGCGCTTATTCCAAAAAAAAAATGTAACACATTTTTAAACACTGCTAGTACATATTCCCCCCACAGCTCCCACACCAGAAATCAAGCTTCATATGAATGCCAGTACTGGGAGCTCAGTTTTAAGTAGCAGCAGTTTAAGAAAACCTGCTCATTGACTGGATTTAAAAAGTCTACGTTTTGCTTAAAATACAGTTAAAGACTCCTGTATGACTGTCTAAATAAGTCCCAAATCCAGTTACTATGTGATACACACCCTATAAAGTAAACTGAACATTTATTTTACCATCTCTAACTGAGTCAAATCCTTCTTTTATTTGTGTTTCACATGCTCCCTGACATTGCAGCTAACAGTGGAATGGTTTCACCAGCAGAGGCAGTTTTGTCAATTCAGAAATCAGTGGGCTAGGTGTGGTCAGGTGTTCATTGACAAGCTACAGGCTTGTCAATCAGCATCAACAGCTTGTTTGAGACTCTCATTGTATCACTCAGGCTCCACACACTTTGGCCTATAGGCCACATCAGGAACACACAATTACTTAGTTATGAGAAGCTCCTTTGCATCAGTGGTTCCTGGCCCAATCTGTCAGGGGCCCGCCGAACACCTGCCCAAAGTCACCAGGGTCTCAGGTTGCAGGACACGTGGTCACACCAAGGGATTCATCTCTCCACCACCCTGTTAGCCAGTCCACCTTCACCAGGTCATCACCAAGCCACTCTCGTGTAGGGTTGCCACCTTTTCTTCAAGCGAAACCCGAACACTCTATCGACGTTTGGATATTTTTTTGGGAGAATAGGTCGTAGCTTATTTATATGTAAATAGTGACGCCCATTCATATGTAAATATCACAGTTGAGACTATTTTCGGTGCGGGGCCAGTAGCCCCAGCTTAATTTTGGTTGCCCATGTCTGCTTGACATCTTGTGTCTGGGTTTCTGCTGCCATGAAATCCGGACACAGTATTCAAAACCCGGACTGTCCGGGTGAATCCTGGATAGGTGGCAACCCTACTCTCGTGTCTTTACTCCCCCAGGTATAAGCTTACCCTTGAGTCCATATTCTTCTTCTACTCCACTGTACTGAAGGAAACTTGCATTATAACAAGCTCTAGGCAAACATTATTCCATCTTTATGCCTGCCCAAGTCCAGATCTAGTCTGCCCACTCGGGAGAGACAATTGGCTTTCCCTCCAAAGTGGAAGCCATGAGGTAGAATTCACTATCTCCTCATAACTCCACTTCCTGAACTCACCCCAGGCTACATTCTCTGTGTCCACCTAAGCTACACCCCTGTCTTTCCCTGCAGAAGGTGGAGGCCCTGTCTACTTCTAGCAGGCCTTACGCCTGCTAGAAGGGAATTACAGAACTTCTCTGAATTTAAAAAGTAGTGCAGCATTGTTTCCACCCCATCACAGCAAGCTTCATTAGGTGGAATTAACTGGCAGGCCCGACAGGTATTTTTGGTACTTTGCAGAGGGACTAAGAGAATACTGTAAGTGCAGTGTGTTGTGTTTCTTCATAGAAAACACTGGGCGCCACAACACTTCCTGTTACCATGACATCCAGTGCTTGGTCTGACATTAGTGCTTGGGCTGTCATAGACATGGCCACTGGTAACAGCATGAAGTTGTGAAGATATTCAAGCTGGGATAGAGAGTGCACAGTGCCCAGTCAATACTTCCCCAGTGAATTGATTGCCATTTTGGTATAATCACTACAGTGATGTCTCTACATCATTTTTTTTTTCTACCTCTAGCCAGCACTGTGTCTGGAGTAGTAGGTGAGATGTGTCACATGACCTAAATATTTGCATATTAATAAAGGGACAAACATATATTTATTTGGTCTATCATGTGTATACTGTACATCTATATATGCTGTTAGGGGGAATTGAAGAAATTTATAGCAATCGGGATAATATAATATTCAGAACAGGTTGCAGAGTGCAGCGGTCAGAAGAATGTAAAGTACAGCACAGCTTTTAGGGTGCAGCAGTCAGGAGTATGTAACATAAAATACAGCTTAAATGTTGCAGCAGTCAGAAATATGTAAGGTACAGTGCAACTTACAGAATTCAGCAACGAGGAGTATTTAATGTGCAGCACTGTTTACAAAGTTCAGTGGTCTAGAGTATGTCTGGAATAAGTATAAATGTAGAGAGCCTTACACTATTAGTGGTTCAGTGATATGAAGGCAATATATGGTCTACACTGAAATGGCCAGGCTGCCTTGTTTGGACTGTCCTACAAGCATCTAGTCCCCTCCCCTACTAGACCTCTATATAACTAGAGATCACGGGTGCTCTTTTGCAAAATTGAACCAAAGTGAAATAGTGCAGCACCTGTCATTCCTCATCCATAATAACAATCATCTTTACCAATAGTGGCAAGTACCTATCTTGCCAACTATTCATACCTTCTTCTTATTGATGCTCTGTGGTAACCTAGGCATCCCTTCCTTTTTCACCCCTTTATGTTGATAGTCGGTGGTAGAATCACCTGTTACATTGGTAGCCACGTAAATGCCACTTTTATATTGGTGGTAAGTATACTGTCCCTTTTACATTGGTTGTCGGTAAATAAATGTCCCCTTACATTGGTGGTCAGTGGACAGTAAAAGTTAAGGTTAACACCATGTCTCTAGCCTCCCTATTGGTCATAAGGAATACCTATCACATTAAAGAACCAATAGTCAGGTTCAGGAGTTGGAAGGAAGCTGGCCCGAGCTAGAGTTAGACAAGAAAAGAGGAGATTTGGGGCCATTTCAGCTATCTGTACTAAACATTTTGATGTAGTTTACACCGAAGGCCACCTCTGTCAAAGCATGCCAGCAATGCAGTAATGAAACTTTTAGATCATCATGCCAGGCACCTAGCAAATTTAAAAGAGTTATGAAATGGCTGCCATTATATTTGCCTCCATATTTTCCCTTAAGAAAATTGAATTCACATTGACAGAAAGAGGACAAGAGTGGGGAAAAAAGAGGGTAGGGGACACTGTATGTTTTTATCTACTTAAGCTGTAAACTGTAGGTCTTTATCTGATGTATTACAATCGCAAGGTTTTTTAAATTCATTTGACAGTTTATTTATTTACCTCTTTTATGTAAGGATTCACAGGAGAAATGTGTCCTTGTAAACATCAATCCTACCAACTATTTTGCCATGGAGTTTATTATTTTGTTTTATTTACAGCCCTAATTCTTCAATCCCCCCACCTCCGCCCATACTGGCCCCTCCTCTATCATCTGGAATAATGGATCCAGGTGTAGATGAAATGTATTCAGTGAACACTAGAGGAGGTATGTTTCTTATACTTGTGTATATATGTAAAGAGGATGGGTCGTACTTTAAAGGGAACTGTGAGGTATTGTTAGTGAATAAAATGTACCTAAAAGTATCTTTTTGTGTTGCTTATCTGCAAGGGTTAACCTATTCTTCTCTATTCTTTTGCTCAGTTGTCCTCTGTGTCCAAAATGTGCACATCACAATCCTTGAAAGAATTGCTTTTCCCTAAAGTGAATCTGTTCCCAGACTAGGGTCATTAAACTATTTATACAGTATATTTTTTAACAAACAGTAAAAGAGCTTTAAAACAAGCTATCACTAAAATTTTTTGTAAAGTTATTCATTTTCAAAGTTCCCTTAAATATCACAACAAAGACTCTAAAGTCAGGATTCAGTTGGTTTTTATTAATTCATGTTTATCAATAAATATTAATTCATGTTTATAGGTACGGAGATGAATGAGGATTGTTTGAAAGTGCTTTTATTGCTTGATCAGAACATATACTCTGAAATACTATGGTGTGCATGATGTGATAATAAACAGAACTAGTCCAGACCAATATAACTAACTAATACTAGCTGTACCATGACCTGAATAAATGACAACCTTCATAAACATGCTAGCAGGCAGGTATTTATTGCAGACGAGATTCTATATATCTCTTCTGCAATAAAAACTCATTTTCTGCATGCCAGCAATCTTTCTTCTGAATAAACACCAGGCAGTATGCGAAAAGCTCCTTGTAAATTCTTAGCATGCCTTGGGTGCTGGTATGAATTAAATCCCCCTGTGCATTCATGGGATCCCGGGCCAACCAATCAAAATGGCCAAAGGCGCTGAACCCGGGAAATGACCAGGCAAAACTGTCAGCGAGTGACCAGGGAGACTGTAGATGTTACATCGCTGAAGGGGGGCACTTTGGCAGATAGTCTGCCATAATGTGCAAATATGCTGTGTATATTCGCACATTGTCTCAACATAGTCTCATTGTTTCTTTGTTTACAGCGCCCAACAGAATGGAGAATTACCTAGACCAGCTTTTTAATCCAATGTTATCATCACCAACTGTGAGTACCACCTGCATCATTGTTTCTCACTTTACCCTTAAAGTGTATTTTGATGGTGGCTACCCTAGGCCTCAACCTGCACAGATATTTTCAGCTTGTGGGACTACAATCTAAGGCCAGCAGACTAAGAGTGCTCATTAGTGATTAGTTAATTCCACAGTTAACCCTTTACACACACACACAAACAATAACAGACACCACGTGTTTTAACAGAAACACACACCGTTCCCAGCAAATGCTGTGACTCTTATGATCTTAGGCAATGCCTGCGATGCTCACTGTCCCTCCAGACAGGAATTGTCATGTACCTTTCAGAACCTTGCAACTCCGGTCCCAAAACCCCTGAGTAGCAGAACAGGAGAGTCAGTGCGCAGAAGGGCATGAGTGCTGGAAGACTGCAGGCTGAAGTGCTGGTACTGATGACAATCTTCATGAAGAATGCAATGCAGGAGATGCGCGTCTGGAATGCAGTGTAGGCAGGATCAAGGTCAGGTGCAAGCCGAGCCAAACCATGCAAATTATGAGGTACCAGACAGCAGGCGGAATCGTAGTCGAAGGACAGGCCGGGGTCAGAGCCGTGCGGACAAGCAGTACAAGAACAGCAGACAAAGAGTGGAGTCAGGAACACAGAAGATCAGCAGAATGGTCAAGAGGAGCCGGGTCGGTAACTGGAAGCACAGGTCAGGATACAGGATCTCAGTAGCGAGTAGCTGAAGATCACTCAGCACTGAGCATCAGGGAGTCACAGTTTAAATAGCCCGTCTGGCACCAGAATCTGTAGCATACGCGTGCTTCTATGCAGAGATGCACACCCAGGCCTGGCTCTGTGGGCCATACCATGCACAGATGCTCATGCAGCACCACTGGCAAAGGCTTCTTGACAGGAATATAACAGTTTTTACAACTTGGTAGTGCTCCTCAAAGAGACAAGGATTCTTTCAATTCTTACTCAGCGCAGAGAGATAAAGCTTAACGATTTTTAAATATTATTTCATAAAGAACAAGAAAAACGGTGTAGAAAAATATTCAGAAAAGATATTACAGAAAAGAGAAAAATAATACAACAGAAAAAAAGGGCATAAGAACGAAATTACTTAGTAAAGTCCTGGATTCTTTGGGTTCCAGCACTTCAATTCAGTCAATGAAGCATAAATTGGATCCAAGGTTGGCTCTCTAGAAATAAGTCTCTTGAAAGATTTTCTTTTCTTGATGGTAAAAGAGAGCTCCTGTTGCTTTGTGCAGCAGCTTTTTGTGGGCCATCTAGATGGCGTTACTGAGCCAGCTTCTCCCCAATAAAAAAAAAACCAAGGTCATAAGACAGGGGGGCTGACGTGCTTTATGATATTGCGCTCCTAAAATATCAGCTTCCAAAATGTAGCCATATTTTTGTTTTTTTCGCATGCTGCAGTGTGATAACCCATAGATTATCTGGTAACCCATAGATGGTGGTTTTATAGACACCATAATTGACATACCTCAGGTATATGGCTTCCTTAGAAGAGGTAATGTGTGCTTTTGGCCTCTGTACCTCATAAGACAAGGGGCATGGCAACCATGATCATGGGGAACAAAAGTAGCCACCCTCCAGAAGGAAGGACGGTGTCAGCACCAATTCAGAGATGATTTGTGGATCTACAGCTGAGTGATACACAAATAAGATACATTTTTGTTAATAGCTAAGGTACATGAATGCATTTTTAAAGGAGAACTATGGGGTTAAGGCTTTTCCCCATAGTCCTTAGGGTAACGGGAGAACACAAACTAGCGTCCTCCCGTCACCCTAGGCTCAGTATACCGCGAGCTGTAGCTCGCGGTATACTGAGACGCCGCAGTATACGGCGAGCTGCTGCTCGCGATATACAAAGGCCCCGTTCACATGTAGCGACTTATCTCGCGATTTCCGCCACGATATCGCGCATTTTTGCCGCGCGATATCGCGAGAAGTCGCCGGCCAATGCTATTCAATGGAGCTGTCTTAACTCCATGTCACGCGTCGCTCGTCGCGGTCGCAAGTCGCTTCTAGCGGACCCTTTTTTCGGTGGATTTTGCGCGATTTTGCTTTTTTTCTATGGAGCCCGACTGAGAAGGTCGCGCTACCGTCGCTGGATCGTCGCTGGAACGTCGCCCCGAAAGTCGCGCTAACCCGGCCGCTGCAAAGGTATGTCGCTACATGTGAGCGGGGTCTCAGAAGCCGCAGCTGAAGCGGATCCCGACAATTGTGTCTGGATCCGCCCAGCTGCTTGACTGACAGCTGGCTCTGCCTACCTAGAGGCAGAGCCAGCTGTACCCTCCCCCGTCCGTTCCGCCAGTCAGCGCTGGTGGATCGGAGTGAGGAGGGGGGAATCCAGCTCCTCCGCTGTCACGGCAGAGAGCCGTGACAGGATCGAGAGGTGAGCGAACGCCAGTATGTGTTCGCTCACCTCCCGATCTACTGAGCCGACCTGTGACAGTCTCATTGTCACAGGTCGGCTAGAACTATGAGGTGAGTGAAAAGCACTCACCTCATAGTTCTGCTTTAATATTTCACTCCTGAGTTTAGTGTTACTTTGACTTTTTCAACAATTTTAACTACAGTAGCTCTCCTATTGAATTACACTACATGAGCCAGCCTTCAATCCCCAGATGCATCATTGAGCCTTGGCCACCCATAACCCTGTCAATGGTTCACCGGTTTTTCTTCCGTGGAAACCCTTTTGGTAGGTCCTAACCACTGCAGACCGGGAACATCCCACAATAGCTGCAGTCGTCTAGCCATCACAATTTGGCCCTTGTCAAAGTCGTTCTTTAGCGCTTGCCCATTTTTTCTCCTTCTAAAGGTGCCCATACACTTTACAACCCTCGCAAGACTTTTGTCTTGCGAGGGTTGTAAAGTAATTAAAAAAACATACGATCTGCCCATCTTGGAGAGGCAGATCATACCTGCGATCATCGCAAGCCCGCCCCCCTGAGGGGCGGGCTTCCGATGGCTGCAATGCTGAACGGGCAGTGCCGGCCCGTTCGGCAGTGATCTCTCGATCATGTTAAAAACCAGCCGAAAATCGTACGATTCTCGGCTGGTTTTCCAACATGCTCGATATACAAAAGTAATACGACCGTACATTAGAAGCGGTTGCACGCCTTTCATACACTGCACAATTCTCGTACGATCGCGGGGTTTCCCGCGATACTCGTACGAGAATTGTGCAGTGTATGGGCACCTTAACACATCCACTTCAGGGACAAAATGTTGACTTGCTGCTTAATGTAGCCCACCCACTTCCAGGTGCCATTGTAATGAGATAATCAATGTTTTTCACTTTACCTCTCAGTGGTACTAATGTTATCTCTGATTAGTGCATATCGTGTTTGTATTCACCAAAATGTTTTAAATAATTAACTATTTAATTAATATTGTCTGACAAAAAAAAACTTGCAACTGCCGTTATTTATTCTCCAGGGTCTCGGCTTTTAGAAAATATGTAATTTTGTGGATGGATTAAAGGGTTTCTAAACCCTCAAGTTTTTTTGCATATATCTACTGCTAGCAAGCAGTAGATATATGCAAAAAGTTTTGTTTTTTTTTAAATGCTTTTGAAGCGGTTTAAACTAACTTGTGTCTTCCCCGCGCGCTCCCGTCCGAAAATCTGAAAATTCTCGGGCGGCCGCAAAACATCTTTGGGCGGCCGCATGCGCAGTTCGGATTTTCGGCCGGGAGACGAGGAGAGACACAAGGTATGTCTATGGACACATGCACCCGCATGCAGACACCGTGGGAAAGGAAGTACCAGCAAGGACAGAGGAGTCAGCGCTGGATCAGAGACCCGCAGCAGCGCTGGAGAGAAGGCTGAAAACTAAAGGAAAGAAGAAGAAGAAGATCGGAATAATAGACATCATTTAAGGTAAGTGCTTTAATTAACATTGGGGGGAGGGAAAAAACTGTTTGCCTTTAATGTCACTTTAAGCAGTTTTCAATCCTAAAATGTGTGTACAAAATGCAAAAAAAGTCTCCGGCAGTGAAAGCGTTAAACTTTTATCTTTAACACCTGTCCCTTGCAGGATTTAAACCAGACTAATAACCTGAACTGGCGCATGAAGGGAGGTGGCGGCATCGGGCCTACAAGACAAAATGCATTTTCCTCTCAAGGTCAGTGCTGAGGATAAAACTAATGCAGAGGCATTATAAAAAACATAAGGCTACATCTTATGTGCTATAAGTGTTCTAATTAAATGCCATTTGTGTTAAATATTCCCTGAAATATAATGTTTGTTGTGAATGTGGATGGGGTGCCAGCCCCCCCCCCCCATTTTCTACCCTTTTCTGCTTGTCATTGCCTCTGATCTTGCTTGCTGCTATCCCGCTGCTATCTCTGCAGCCCCCTTTCCTCCTTTCTTGCCTGTTGAGCCTAATTCTTCTTGCTGTACTTTCAGTGAACCACCTTCTGCCCTTTTAATTCTCCTTGGCTCTCTTATGATAGAGACAAGCTCCAGGCCTAGCACCCTGAGTTTGACATCACCACTTGGTGAGTTAGTGATTAGTTAATTCTTAGTTAATTGGAACAAGCATGCATATAACAAGTGTTCAGGTAACGATGACAGCCTTGTACCCAGTTGCTCAGAAAAAAAGTCAGCAATGGCAGCGTCTATGTTTCTATATGATCAATTCCTATTTGATCCCAGTACTCAAACTGATGTTGATTTTAAATAATTTAGTTTTTGTAAACACAATTCATAAAAACTAGAGCAGACAAAATCTGGAGCAGATGCCCATGGCATCCAATTAGCTTTTTTGTTTCATTTTCAAAGCGTAATTGAACAAACTGAAGAGAGAAGCTGATTGAGTGCCATGGGCAACTGCTCCATATTCTGTCTGCTTCAGTTTTTGTGAATTCCAAATGACAACAACTTAACAACATCTTAACAAATGACACTAGAAAGCTGCTAACTCACTCTCTTGTCATCTTTCATCTTGACTATTGTAACTCCCTTCATGTGGCCTACCCCCACACAAGCTATTCCTCCCTTTAGTCTATTATGAATGCTGCTGCCAGACTCTTCCACCTCACCAACCGCTCAGTGGCCGCCACCCCTCTCTGCCAATCCCTCCAGTGGCTTCCAATTGAACAACGCATACAATTTAAAATACTAACAACAAAATACAATAAGCCATCCACAACTTTGCCCCCCGACTACATTTCCAACATCATCTCAAAATGTCATCCAAACCGTCCCCTCCGCTACTTCCAAGCAGATTCTGAAGGCTGGAATCACAGATAGATGTCTGTGAAAGATGCTGACTTGTTTTCCAAGGTGCAGATTCCAGGCATGTCTTCTGAATCCTGCTTTTGTTGTCTAGTGACATACTGATCAGGAACAAGAATGCAGCTAATCATGTCTGAGGCCAAAGTGAAGAAGGGTTATAACTTCAGTCATGTTAATTGGAGGAGGAAGCAAGGAAGGCAAAATATAATAAAATTCAGCTTTAATGTTTAACAAGGTTATAAAAGCAGAAAAGGCCTAGGTGGGGATGGTCACAAGTGGATTACAACATAGACTCAGCCACACCCGATCTTATCTTTCAGAAAATAACCAATAATTCAGTTATGTAGAAGTAAACAGCCATATTCCTTCTTTGTTTTTCCTTTTTCTTTCTTTCTCTTCATAATTCTTATTTCTAAGCTGAAAACACAAAACTGTCATTTATAATATAGTGGATAGAGCACTCAAACAAGTAAGTAAAGCAACCGATCAAATTCGACTGTCAGCACTTTAGCATTGTACACAAATAAAAAGGTGATTCTAGATAGTTTGCCGAGGTTTAATGTACCTTCCATGAGGCACCCTTCACTATTCAATAACAGTTACAGCTGGGGTTTTCAGCCACTAATTTGGTTTAAGGACAAGTCCAATGTAAACCTTTTCTTTTAGTATGGCCAGGGTTAGATAAACCTTTCTCAACCTGCTGTGGCACCCTGGTGTGCCTTCTGCCTTCCTCATGGGTGCCTCAAAATTTCGTGGTAGTGGGACTGTAATGTAAAGGGGGGAATGAAGTCTGAAGTGAAGGGGGAACTATGATATGAAAGGAAGAGACTCTTTTTGTCTTCCAGTTATACAGTTCCCTTGGCTGAAGTGGTGCAGCACCCCTAGCAATCCCGCATATGCATTCCTCAGTTTTATGATCTGTTTTTGGCGCTTTAGTTTTGTTTGCTTAGAATATGAAGAGGAGTTCAGAGGTGAGCAGTGTAGGAAGAGGGATGCAGGGGGTACAGAGGTGAGCAAAAAAGGAAGAGGGGTGCAGTGGTGAGCAAAGTAGGAACAGGGATGCAGAGGTGAGCAGAATAGGAACAGGGATGCAGGGGGTGCAGAGGTGAGCAGAATAGGAAGTGGGGTGCTGGGGTTGCAGTGATGGGCAGAATAGGAAGAGGGGTGCAGAGGTGGGCAGAGTAGGAACAGGGATGCAGGGGGTGCAGAGGTGAGCAGAATAGGAAGAGGGGTGCAGGGGGTGCAGAGGTGAGCATAATAGTAAGAAAGGTACAAGGGGTATAGAGGTGAGCAGTGTCGAAAGAGGAATGCAGGGGACGCACAGGTGAGCAGCACTGAAAGGGGGTGCAGAGGTGAGCAAAGTAAGAAGAGGGATGCAGGGGGTGCAGAGGTGAGCAGTGTAGAAACAGGGATGGGGGGGGTGGGCAGAGGTGAGCAGTTTTAAAAGAAGGTAGCAGGGGTAACCATTGTTGGAAAAGGGGGCAGAGGTGTACACGGGTGCTGAAGCCTTTGCTCGTGGTGTTCTGGAAGCTGGGTGTCGGGCTGTTGGGAGACACCAGTATCAAATCTACACCTGCAGTAGTGGAACGATCACACAAAATCAAGAAGCGGCGCAGAGAACCAAGGGAGTCAGCAACAGCATGGGTGAGTGGAGGAGACCTGCACTGAAGGACACAAGTAACACTGCATGCAATGAACAGATGGGTCATCTGCCTAGTGCCTGCTTTATACTGTATGTCTATCAATCTACCTCGTAATGATAGCATATCTGTAGATAGATCAACAGACATACATGACAGGCACTAGGCAGGTGAAAAAAGTGTATGCTCATACAATAAATGTATGGGAATACATATTTTACATTTCCATGTGTTTATTATATAAATAAAAGTATGGAAATGCAGAACAGGAATTTCCATACTTTTATTGTATTCAATGGGCTGCCTTAAAGTGGAAGTAAAATGTGTTTATAAAAAAATTGCTAATGGGTAGTTTTTGATAGCAAAGACTGTGTAAGTCTCTTTTACCAAAAAAAGCTCCTACCTGCCTGTCAGCAATTTTTCTTTTTCAGTGCACATACCCAACATGCTGGAATGAAGTAACTCCCATGCACAGGAGTTGTATCATGCCAGCCAGCCAATCAAAGAACCCGAAAGAAGACTGGGAGAAGATGGCAGTGACGGAGGGGAGAGCAGACAGCAATGTAGAAGGACATTGTCTGCAAGTAAGTCAGCCATAATGTGCTAATATGCTGTGCATACTAGCACTCTTTGGCAATCACCTCCAGAGCTCTATTTTTTTAATAACCACTTCACTTCCACTTTAAGGAAGGTTTTGCAAGAAAATTACTGGGCCTTGGTCTCACTAAGGGTCTATTCCTCCTGCACATTAGAGCACGATGCAGCATCTCACTGCGCTACTTAGTCAGGTAGGGTTTAGGGGACCCCAAGATTTCTAATGGCGGCCCTGGCTGGCAAATACCGGCACTCACTAGCTGTAATAAGGACAGCTAGTACCGGTAATTGCTTTTGCTCTAACATAGCAGGAGCTGCAGTCTGCAAGTGTCATTGAGTAAATGCAAAGAATCGATGTATTGTTTCAATGTATTTACTATTCTATTCATCTGTAGATCTGATTATTATTATTATTATTACAATACAGGATTTATATAGCGCCAACAATTTGTGCAGCGCTTTACAAAATGGAGGAGACAGGACAGTTACAATACAATTTACAATACAATACAGTTTCAGTACAAGAGGGTTAGGAGGGCCCTGCTTGTTAGAGCTTACAATCTAGTAGGAGGGGCAAGTGATACAAAAGGTAATAATTGTTTAGATTGAGTTATTGGAGGAAGTAAAAGGCAGTTACGTTGAGATGAGATAGGCCTTCCTGAAGAGATGGGTTTTCAAGGATCGCCTAAAGGTGGGCAGCGTAGGAGATAGGCGGACAGAATGGGGTAAGGAGTTCCAGAGGATGGGGGACACTCTGGAGAAGTCCTGGAGGCTGCATGGGAGGAGGTAATTAGAGAGCTAGAGAGCAGGAGGTCTTGAGAGGAGCGGAGAGGACGGTTTGGGGGATATTTTGAGATTAGGTCTTTATGTAGGTTGGGGCGGAGTTGTAGATGGCTTTGTATGTTGTTGTTAGTATTTTTAATGTCATTCGTTGGGCAATTGGCAGCCAGTGGATGGATTGGCATCTGATGAAATAATGAATACAATCACATCAATTAAACAATTTAAAAAAAAAAAATGTATTCCTTTTTAACCCCTTATTAACCCTTGGTTACCCCGTTTAGCCCTAATAAACTTCTTCCCCTCCTTAGGTATTTTTTCTGCTGTTTTTTTCTTGATGTTTGTTACCCTTTTCTTTGCTTGGCATTTGTTTTGTTTGTTACTTTCCAGTGTCACATTTTATAATAAGACAATTAGCAAAATTTTAAAAAATACCCTTTTTTAATTTGCAAGTAGCTATGCTATACTTTGTTCCAGAAGCAGAATTTTAGTGTCAATTTAAACAGAGGAAATTATAGAATAAAGGTGAATGTATAATAGAGATCACAGCAGATTTCGCAAAATAAAATCATTTTTGCAAAACAATATTCCTAAAATAGTTTCCCAAAAACAATGTATGTATGTATTATTTTGTTGTCTTAATGACACAGTTAATGCCAAATAAACTGGGTCATAGCGGAAATGTAAAAATTGCTCTTGTCCTTAAGGGGTATACAGGTATGAGAGCGGTAAGGTATGAGAGGGTAAGAGACCATGCCCCCCTTCTATTAATATCAGCTTATATGTTAAACGATCTTGCATTTAATCTCTGATTATTAATACTGATCAGGCCTGAGACTCCTGCTGGGTGCTGCCATCTTGGATGTGGCAATAGCAACCCCAGACAGACTCCTTTTATATGTTAGGCTCATTTTCAAACATCACATAATTTGTCTGATAACAGGACAGAGAGGCTGACAGGAGTTTGCACACAGTAAAGCACTCAATAATGCCAGCAGTGACACCTCCTCTACTGATATTACAGTCAGTAACATGCAGCCCACAGCCTTCTGACGAGTCAGGCACGCATTTTGCAGACCGTGTGTACCTGACTTGTGGGATGTGGACTCCATAGCTGCTCCTGGTGGTGCTGGAACGCAGTAGTTCCTTTTGGCCGGCGCTCTGACAGCCTTCACTGAGCGCTGGCCAAAAGGAAGGATTAGTACGATCTGCACCAGCCAAAAGTGCAGACCCTGCTAATCACCCACTGGACCACCACGGAATGTGCCTACTCCCTGCAAAAAATGGCAGTAGGTGAGGGGGCTCTTTCTTTTATTTTATGTGTGTGTGTGGGCAGGAAGTGTGTGCGGAGTGTGGGTGGGGGGGGGCTTATTTCTGTGTGTGTGGGAAAAAAACATGCACATATAGTGACACTATACACATACTGATATGACACACACAGAAACATTGACACACATGCCGACATCACTCACAAAAATCCTAACAATACACACACACAAACAATCACAAAAAAAATTAAAAATATACTGACATTGCATACAAAGGAATCATCACAAAAGAATATACTGAAATTATAAACACACACAGACATTAACACTGGTACCATATATATTTACATTTTATGAAATTGGGCCTCCATTGGAGAAGACAATTTGTCCAGTGGCCCCCAAGTGAATTGAGTTTTGGACTCTGCTCCAGCTGGCACCTTTTGTTTACTTACATTATGGGTGCACAGAAAAAAAAATTACTGATCTTGACTGAAATCCTAACATTTGCTAACAAGTAGCTGTGCAGGCTTCTGCTGTCTGCCTACACCAATTGCGGTCCGTTCCAGAGCGGCAGCTGCTGGAATGCACAGCAATCACTCACTAAACTTCCCCATTCGTTCTGGGGAGGGAGGAGGCATGGTGGTGCTTTGAAGTCAAAGGCACCGCAGCCACGCCCCCACCAGCAGTGCGTGTGGATGCATGGCAAAACATTGCCTGGACCTGATCATGTCCAGACCAGAACAGTTTTTTCCCGGACCAAAAAAGCATCCCAATGTATCCCTATGGCATTTCTGGCCTCTGTTCAACTTCACACCAGCGCAGTCGTTCCGGCCCAGACAAAATAAATACTGCTCGTCTCATTTTATCTGGTCTGGAATGCAGGGAAACTCAACAAATGCACTATAACACGTCTGAAAGCCAATTTTAAGCTAAAAAAAACAAACAAACAAAAAAAGCCCCTGCTCTTGGGGTCAATACAGGTGTCAAATTTTGATTGCATGCAATGCATTATTTCCCTAATCATCTTCCAGGACGGCAACCTGAGACATGATTGGTTCCACCTTCTACAGGAAACACAATTAGTAAAATAGTTAAAAGCCCCTCCCCTTCCCCTCATACCTCAGTTTAGATTGTGCTTCCTACCGTCCAGGACCACGTCACGTTTGTTCTTTTCTTCCTGACCGGTTGGCCTTGAGGTCACGGATCCCCCTCTGTGCGGCTCTGCTGTTGAAGGTGTTTTTCCTCCCTTCTGGCCTTGCTGTAGAGCGGAGGGGTTTTTTCCCCTATGTTATTCTGACAAGCCAGGATCTGGTTCCTTTCCTCCCTTAAGGATCCACTCCTGAGGCCCCCAGGCCTGTGGCCCTGTCCTGCCTTCCCTTGCTTGATGTAAGAGAGCTTGTAGTGTGGTTTCGTAGCGGCATCCGGCATGCTGGGGCAGTGTATTGGGCGAGCAGTGGACTGAGAGGCACTTCCGGTGTGTTCCAAGCAGCATTCTAGATTTGGTCCGGAAAATGGTGTGAACCTGGCCTAAATGTCTAGTAGCAGTATTTCTTTAATGCAATGAGGGAAGAAAAGTTTCAACCAGTCAAATTTAAAGTAAAACTAAACTCAATTACTATAATCTCTTATAACCTTTAACTATCTGGAGTCCAGCTGCCATTTTTAAATGGATCTGGAACATCAGCTATTTATTCCAGTGCCATTTTAAAATGATGGCCAGTGTCAGCTGTTTCTGAGCACCCCATTGGCACTAGCATCAGAACTGCTGATCATCAATGTAAGGGGGGTATTCTACACTGACCACCAATGTAAGGGAGGATTTAAACTGATCACCAATTTAACGGGGTATTCTACTATGACCACTAATGTAAGGGGAGATTTACACTGGCCTCCAATGTAACAGGAGATTTTACCCAGACCACCAATGTAAGGGGGGATTTTACACAGACCACCAATGTAAGGGGGATTTTACACTGACCACCAATGTAATGAGGAATTGTATACCGACTACTAATTTAAGGAAGGATTCTACAATGGCCACCAATGTAAAGGAGGATTTTACACTGACCACAATGTAAAGGGGTATTTACACTGACCACCAATGTAAGGGGGGGGGGGATTTACAAAGACCACAATGGAAGGGGGGATTTACACTGACCACCAATGTAACAGGGCTCTAGATGTCACACGCTGACTCTAAGTATTGGGAAGAGTATATTTTATTCTTCCAATACTTCACCTTTAAGCGTCTGTTTCTAAACTGATATTTTGTGGAAATCTATATTTATAGGTATATTTTAATGTATCTCTTGTGTTCAGGTTACACTGGAGTTGGCTCAATGCCTGCATATTCTATGCCAGCTATGAATGGTATGATGCCTGCAATGGGAATGATGCCCCAAATGCCAGGTAAGCCTGCAAAGATCTCTCTCTATCTGTGCATCATTTCACCCTAGATGTCCAGGGGAGTACATTCATGGATCCTGCCAGGCTGGAAAAGTAGGACACACAGGTGTTGAACCCTCACACCTCAACAGGTAGGCCACCAGCTGAGGAGATAAAGAAGAGCAGAAGAACCAGCTTGGTTAACAGAAGCACATGCAGTGTCTTCTATTACAGAAACCTAAACCTTCCCTGAGGAGAGGGCTCTGTAGTAGCAATCAGAAGACATCTAACATTCGAGTCAGTACACTGGATCATGGAAGGATTCCCCAACGAGGCAAACCTTGAGGGTCCAGCATTTTTATGCCAATTCTTTCTGGGGATGGGGACAAAGCCAATCCCCAGGCCTGAACATTGTTTCTTAGGGGGTATTTGTATTGGATTTTCAGTGGTTCTGGTAGAGCTCTGACAATGTTGTTCTTATTAAGCCTTGCATTCTGTGTTAAGCTTTTTTATTTCAGGCAGGCAGACAGGTACACATTAACTAATTTAATGCTATCTACGTTCTAATTATAGTTAAATGCATTGTGATGTGTGTATTTTTAATTAGTCAAGGGATAAGTTTGGACTAATTCGATTATGGTATTAAAAGTGACACTAAACTTAGGAGTTAAATCTTAAAAATGCATTCAAGTACCTTCACTAATAACAAAAATATAGCGTATTTGTGTATCACTCAGCTCTAGATCCTCAAATCATCTCTGAATTGGTGCTGACACTGTCCTTCCTTCTGGAAGGTGGCTACTTTTGTTCCCCATGGTCCCTATTTTTGTTGTAAAGTAGCTAACACTCCTAACTCGCTTAAGTGATGGACTACAATCTCATGATTAGTTAGCCAATTTCTATTGAAATTATAGTCCATCACAGGAATGAGGTTGGAGCAGTGGCTACTTTGCAACACACGGGACCATGGGGAACAAAAGTAGCCACCCTCCAGAAAGAAGCACAGTGTCAGCATGAATTCAGAGATGATTTGAGGATCTACAGCTTAGTGATGAACAAATAAGTGCATTCACTGTCTTGATAATAGTTAAGGTACTTGAATGCATTTGTAAGATTTAACTCCTGTGTTTAGTGTTACGTTATCCAGAATTAGCTTTATAGGCATAAGGAACTATTATTTAAACTGTAACACATTTGCATTGCTGTCACAAATAATGATGTGCTCTGATTGTTTATAGGTATGATGCCCCAGCCTATGATGCCTCAAGCAATGATGCCTCAAGCAATGATGCCTCAAATGATGGGTCAGCCTATGCCCATGGCACAGCAAATGGTTCCTGCTATGGACCATACACAAATGGCTGCCCAACAAGCTTTTATTCAGCAGCAGGCCTTGCTTTTGGTATATATGTTGTTTTCTTGAATCATGTCTTCTTTACCAATTTTCTGGCCTCAGAAAATATTTTTCAGCTTGTGGTCTTTGTTATACAATATGCTGTATTTCTTTCAGCTATTGTGTAATTATTTTTTGTCTAGGCGCAACAAATGACACTTCAAGCCACAATGTTGTCCCAGCAGCAGCAGGCTCGTCAAGACTCTTCACAAAGAAACAGAGACCGTTCTCCGCCTCCAGCTTCAAAACCTCCACCTAAAATTCTTCCTAAATCATCACCAGCTTCTCCACAAAGATCAAAGCCAGCACCAACACCACCTACAGCTCCTACACCTCCACCCGCTCCAGCTCCTTTGCCTGCTGCTGCACCTCCACCTCCTGCTGCACCTCCATCTTCTTCACCAGCTTCTGCGCCACTTCCGATCCAAATCTCAGAGAATATGAAACCGGAAATCCCTAGAGAGGTAATTTCTTGTATGATATACAATTAACTGATTTGAGAAAATGCTGAATACAGACATCCCAACTCTCACGGATGTTCCCAGGAGTCTCCCGCTATTAGATAGCGGCTCCCGGCTGCCCGGGAGAGAAGTATTTTCTCCCAGTAAAGGTTTACTCTGCTCTATCTAGCAGAGTAAACCTTTCCCTGCTGTCTGTTTTTTTTTATTCTGATATTGGAGACGCCAACCGCCGTCAAAGTAAAAAAAAAACACACAAAAACAGCATAGAAATGAATAGCTTGATTGCTATTGGCTATTTGAATTTGCAATAGCCAATAACAAGCTGGCTATTGCACCCGCCCTCTGCTGCTGTGAACCTGCAAAGGTGGACCTGAAGTTCTCCATCAGGTCCTCCTCCTGCTGATTGACATTCCCAATTAGAATTAGTAGGGAAGCAGGGAAATGTGTTTATAATGAGCAACGTCAATTATCCGGAGATTGATTGGTGAACTAGAACCTCTCATTCTATAAAGGCGGGCCGTTTTCTGAACCTGTTAAGGGACAATTTCTTGGATCAGATGGTTGATGTCCCAACCAGAAAGAATGCAACACTGGACTTAATAATCTCTAATAATGTGGACCTTGTTGGGGACATAACGATTAGGGATACATTGGGTAATAGTGATCACAGGGTGATTACTTTAAATGTGGGGTACAGAAAAGAGAAGTGTGTTGGTCTGACAAGAACACTAAACTTCAGAAAAGCAAACTTTGATAAGCTGTGTCACCTAATTAGCGACACTAATTGGTACAACGTATTTCTAACACTGGACACTGACCAGAAGTGGGATTGTTTTAAGAAGAACACGTTACACAATGCTATTGCAAAATGCATACCATTGGGAAACAAAAATAAAAGATCAAGAACTAACCCTGCATGGCTAAATAAAACGGTAAAACAATATATCAAAGAAAAGAAGATAACATTTCTAAATAATAAGGTGGAGGGGACTGCATTGGCATTCCAGAACTACAGGGAATGCAACAAGACATGTAAACATGAAATCCGGGCGGCTAAAATAGATTATGAAAAGCATATCGCCACAGTCAGTAAAAAGAACCCCAACAAATTATTCCAGTATATAAACAGTAAAAGGGTAAAGAAAGAGCAAGTCGGTCCAATAAAAGACAAAAACGTGGGATTGGTGACAAACGACAGGGAGAAAGCTGAGGTATTGAATTAATTTTTCTCCTCAGTATAGACTCAGGAGAGTGACGAGTTTAATGGAGATAAGAATGGGAGTTACTCAGTGCGTAAAATACTGCAGTTGTTGACAGTACTGGGGTACAACAAAGACTTGAAAAAATTAATGCAAATAAATCATTAGGACCAGATAATCTGCACCCCAAGGTACTTAACCAGTTGACATCCGCGGTGTTAAACCCCCTTCCCATCCAGGCCATTTTTCAGTATTCAGCGCTGCAGTACACCTTGTTGGGGACATAACGATTAGGGATACATTGGGTAATAGTGATCACAGGGTGATTACTTTAAATGTGGGGTACAGAAAAGAGAAGTGTGTTGGTCTGACAAGAACACTAAACTTCAGAAAAGCAAACTTTGATAAGCTGTGTCACCTAATTAGCGACACTAATTGGTACAACGTATTTCTAACACTGGACACTGACCAGAAGTGGGATTGTTTTAAGAAGAACACGTTACACAATGCTATTGCAAAATGCATACCATTGGGAAACAAAAATAAAAGATCAAGAACTAACCCTGCATGGCTAAATAAAACGGTAAAACAATATATCAAAGAAAAGAAGATAACATTTCTAAATAATAAGGTGGAGGGGACTGCATTGGCATTCCAGAACTACAGGGAATGCAACAAGACATGTAAACATGAAATCCGGGCGGCTAAAATAGATTATGAAAAGCATATCGCCACAGTCAGTAAAAAGAACCCCAACAAATTATTCCAGTATATAAACAGTAAAAGGGTAAAGAAAGAGCAAGTCGGTCCAATAAAAGACAAAAACGTGGGATTGGTGACAAACGACAGGGAGAAAGCTGAGGTATTGAATTAATTTTTCTCCTCAGTATAGACTCAGGAGAGTGACGAGTTTAATGGAGATAAGAATGGGAGTTACTCAGTGCGTAAAATACTGCAGTTGTTGACAGTACTGGGGTACAACAAAGACTTGAAAAAATTAATGCAAATAAATCATTAGGACCAGATAATCTGCACCCCAAGGTACTTAACCAGTTGACATCCGCGGTGTTAAACCCCCTTCCCATCCAGGCCATTTTTCAGTATTCAGCGCTGCAGTACTTTGACTGACATTTATTCCGTCATGCAGCGCTGTACTGAAATGAATTTTATACCCTTTTTTGGGGACAGATAGAGCTTTCTTTTGGTGGTATTTATTCACCACTGGGGGTTTTATTTTTTTACTATATTAAGGAACAATTACCGAAATTTAAAAAAAAAACAACAGTTTCCCCTATATTAAATGATAAAACATTTATTATTACCCAATTTTTTGGTAAAATATAAAAGATGGGGTCACGTCGGGTAAAAAGACACTAAACATGTCAAGCCTTAAAATTGCGTGCGCGCGCGAAACCTCAAAAAACGATAATACCCAAAATTGGCCCTAGGCGACGCTTTAAAAGCTGTTACCGCTCATCAGTTTAGTGTTATCAGTGATTGATGGCCCTAAAATGATTGCTCTCACTGCGACGTTCGCGGCGATATGTAACATGTGTAGCGCAATTGTAATTTTTGCGCGCTGGGGCACCGGACGCGTATTTACGTTTATAGGCGCGTAAACGTGGGGGTGGGGGAGTTAAACATTTTGGGGGGGGTTTTTCCCCTTTTTTTATATGTGACTTTTATTTTATTTTACTTTTTTATGTGTTACTTTTATTTTTTTTATTTATATTTATTTTTTTTGCACTTATTGTTATTGCTATTATATAGGGGG